GTTCACCTTAGGTTGAGGTATGCCCTGGTAACAGTTAGGTTTAGGGCTAAGGTGTCAGTTTAGTTGGCCTTAGGGTGAGGTATGCCCTGGTAACAGTTAGGTTTAGGGCTAAGGTGTCAGTTTAGTTGGCCTTAGGGTGAGGTATGCCTAAAATGGTAATCTCTCCCAAGGGGATCTAGTGGACCATTTGTTCTCTACATGAAAACTTTTAACGGAGAACTGTCCTCAGCATGTAGGAAAAACAAGGCCACAGAAATAATTAGCAAATTTTCACTCAAAATACTGTTACACTAAAGAAAAATAGTGGCTGGTAAAATATTTATGTGGCAAAATCTTGAATTTCCATCTCTGCTCCACACTTCTACTCATTCCATGCTTGGAAAACTCTTCTTCTTGTTTGTCCTGTCCTTAATGCTCACAGGAGAGCTGCTAGATATTTCTATTGATATTGGTGGAAAGATAACACTGACTAATTTATCTCTGCCACAGCTGTCTACTCATCCTCATGCAAGGTAGGCTGGAGATTAGAGGAAAGCTCTGGCTTTGTCACAATAATCCTTCCTACTATTTTAAGTCATGCACACTCGTCCTTTAAAGTTTTCCTGGAGTCATTTAAGATTCATGCTTCTTGATTTTAATCCCTGGTTCGACCCGGTACATGGTCTAATTATGCAGGCTGCAAACGCATTGTGTTCTCACATGAACTCCTTCTGCAGTTTCAACGCGTAATTTATGTTGTGGTAAACAGGTCAGTTGTCAAACGCTCACAGGTCGATGATTCCATCAAATGGGCTGAAGTGGCTCGGCATAACATTAACCTCCAAATGTATTCAGCTAACACTTATGGGGCGGACCGATCATGCAGATGATGAACTGGTGAAAACTTTGAAGAAATCTTTTAAACTCACAGGACTCTGTAAACAAAAGGATCATTAATTATTGAAAGGAGACGGCAGAAATATGGCGGCAGTTTTCAATTAAGCAGGTAGAACAGAAGTCTAGAGAGCAGACCGCCTGCTCATATTTGATTATGTGCTTTTATCTAAAGGGATTTACAACAGAGCAAATCTCAGATCTTTGAAAATTAGTTCAGAAAAATATGAGGTGTTGTACCATAAGCTGATATTAGAATTCTTAGCTGCTAACATGATAAACATGGTGAAGGTGAGTGACGTTCTATGCTGCTTCATACCAGGATGACTTTGAGTTGAGTTTCCAGCGTTTGTTTCTTTTGCTGAGTGGCCACGTCTCCACTTGTCCAAACAGCTTTA